ATTTTTTTTTCTCTCTCAGCCTCTTTCCTTGTAATTGTGCTGTTTTGTTTGTCAACAGACTTCCTAATTTCTGCACGACAGAGAGAGAAAGGGGAAGCATCCTCTGGATATAAAGATGTCCTGTAGGAAGGCATCCCATGCATAAACCTAGTTGATCTCTTTACGATGAATGATGTGCTTTTGTTGATCTCTTTAAGTTGATGAAATAACCAAAAATAAATTGACAATGAGGGAGTAGCCCAACTCCTTATAAGCCCATGCAAAGTTCTTAATTTCCGATGTGGGACAACTCTTCACATCCTCACACACCCCTTCACGTGAAATTTCAAGTGTAACACATAGACAACTTAATTGGACAACTGGATGACATGGAGCATGCATTGGCGGACCTATATAGAGTCTAGTGTGGGCAGCTGCCTACACTTAATTTCTTTTTCAACCATGTAGACTACAATAAATAAGACATTTGACCAACAAATAAATAAAACCTTCAAGATTTTAACCCAAATTTCCCATATTCAAAATATCAAGGCCCCAAAGTTGACCAAATATCGAGGCCAAGTTCAAGAAATAACTTAGTTTGTCCTTCCTTGCATTTTGTGTTCATAAAATAAATAGTTATATAAATATATAATATTGCTACATAAATAAATATTATAATATTATTCTATAACATTTATGCCCACACTTTGACAAGATGCTAGGTCTGCCATTAGGAGCATGTGTGTCTGTTGGGCTTCACACATGAGCCACCATGCTTTGATACCATCAAGGAAGTTGAGGTTCCACCCCCATTGCCAACTAATTTTGGGGTGGAACCTTAACTTCCTTAAGTTGTCTTAGTGTGTCTTGTGTTACTTGCAATTGTGCAGTCAATTAGTAGTATAGCAAGACAAGAACGAGATTGCACCTACGAGAACTAAGAAGTTTAGATTAATTATGTACTTAGATCATCCAATTCTAGAAACAAGAAGTTAAGTCTAAAATGAAATTGAAGCAAAATGAAATTGGAATTTGAAGTGAGAGTGCTTGTGATTGTGAAAACAAATGAATAAAATGAAATTACAAACGAAAGCAAGTAAACAAGTGTAACAAAGAGTGGTCTTAAGGGTTGGAAAACAGATTTGGAGACTAAGCGTTCGATTCACCATAACTATCCAATTATAGGTTAAAAGGATTCAAGTGACAAATCTAATTCAGATTCAAAGATTGATTCTAGCTAAAGTATGATTAAGCCGTGATGTATAGTTCTAACCTTGTATTCCTAATTCCCTAATTTAGTTCTTGTTGTTGAACCTAAATCAAGCATTAGAAATCCATTAAGCATAGAACTATGTTTTAAACAACCAAGCATGTATCTAATCCATGTTGCCGAATATCCATACATACTCTTCCTATTCATAGTTCAATTGAAACAAAAGCATATGGTGTCTACTTTAGTTTCAACCAAAATACACAAATCTGAATGGTAGCTAGGCATTTCAATTAGCATATAGGCAAGTAGGCCTAATGAATAAAAACATGAATCATGTATCAAACTTGAAACTTATAAACCAAGAATATTCATGTTAGGTTACATCGAAGTCCTAGTTATGGATTTAGCTACTCATAATGGGAAAGAAACTTAAACAGAAATGAGAAAACATAATAAATGCAATAAGAGTAGAAAAACCCTTTTATGAAGTTTTTGTGATATCCAATGTTTCTCCAAGAGCTTCTCCACGTCTAATGTTGCTCCAAGAGCTTCCACACGTCTAGAAGGATGTATGAACGTTAAGGAGATGATTAAGGATGAGTTTGGGTAAGTGGTGATGGTTGACAAAGAGGAAATCGTAGGAAAATGGAAGAAAGGCTTGATGGGATAGTTTTGGTGATTGGGGCCTGTTTAGAACTTTGGGTTGATTGCTGGAGTGTTTGGAATTGTGGGAGTGTTTGAGGGTGATTTCTGAATGTATTTGGGGAATAATAGGAATGTGGAAGATGGAATGAAGGATGGATTAGTTATGGCAGTGTGAATCTCAGGATGTGGTTCATTTTGGTGTGGAATGGAAGTGATATTTATTGGGAGAAGGAAGTGAGAAATCTGAATTGAGTATGGCTTTCACCTACAACACTCACTTCACTAACTTTACCTAACATACCAATGTAATTAAAAACCAGTTTCTTTTCTTATTTGGCTGTTGTACTTCACCAACAAATCCCACCAGAAACCATAGCTCATGTACGGCTCATCATGACCAAGCAACAATCAGCTCATCCTTAGGTCATCATGATCAACAACTTCAAGGGCTCACAAATTGGGCTTTTCTTAAGCAAATGATGACTTTGAGCCCTCCATCTTAAAGTTCAGAAAGTCATCTTTCCAACCACATGTCATTTGGGCCAATCTAAGGTGAAGGAAGAAGTTAAGGTTGAAACAAATTGCTAACTCAGTTTTCACATTTTTGCACCATTTTGCATCTTTTCCTATCCAAAGCCACCATTTCTACCTAAAGCTCAATTAACTGAATGACAAAGACAAAAGAGATTAAAAGCACAAATTTAACTCAAAAATATTGCCAAATCATAAATTAGAAGGGTACAAAATGATATATAATTATGCACTGATCAGTGTGTATGTGTTCAAATTTGTAGTTTTAATTGTTGCATTGTTGTAGATCTAAGTCATGTTTGGTGACTAGTGTTGGATTGGATTGTATACTCCCTCTATTTAAAGCATGCTTAAGGAAGAAATGAATTTATTTTTTTACCAAGTTGAAGGTAGAAGATGGATTACTCATGACAAAAACTTATGTCATCTAATCCCCACTAAATGGTAGGATAACAATACCTTATAACTATCCCTCCTAATCCCCCAACATGAAAAGTCATTCACCATACCTTCATTTCCTCCTTCAATATTCCTTAGATTTAGTGACTTATCCAATATAATACTAGTCACTAGACATGCCCTAATTTACTTAAAAGGGACAACCCCCTTCTCCACTAATCAAAAGAAAAAGAGGAGGAAAGGTAAGCTAGAATAACCAAAAGACAAAATAAATGAATTTGTTGACTTTTGTATTATAATTTAGGTAATTCTTTGTAATATTAGATTTCCTAGTATAGACCTGTAATTACTCCATTTGATAGTGTGATTAAGATCATAGCCTTATGTGTGTATATATCCCTCTATGTAAGATGAATAACACACAACATTATTAAACCAAATAGTATTTTTCTTTTTAAGTAACCAATTAATGAAATGACAAAGAAAGGGTAAAGGCAGGATGAATGGCAACGGGAAAGATGAATGGTGCTGAAGATGTTAACCAAAGATGTGATGGAGCAATGATTGATGAAGGTGGTAGCTGGATTTACACTTTACATACGCTATTTTTGAGGGGATCTGCACCAGTTACTATTGAGATAATCTTTACTTGGCTCAAGTTGGCTAGGCCTCATTTTGTACATGTTTAATTAATTTTTCGCCATTATTGCACCAAGGGAGAAACGGTGGCTATTTTTCAAGTCAAGGGCGTGTTTCTTTTCTAGTGTGTGAAAGAGGAGACCAACTAAGGCCGAAAAAATAAATAAATAATAAAAAATAATAGGAGACCAACTCAAAGGAATCTGTGCTTTTCATTGTTTGCGCTTTGTTAGGTAGCTATTTTTTTATTATTCTGTGAAAAAAGAAAAAATCTTGACATTTCTCCGCAGCTATTACTTGCCCTTGGTTGTTATCCTTTTTCTCTCTTTCCTTGTAATAAATTCCTAATATATCCATATGAGAGAGAGAGAGAGCATCCCTTATAAAAGATATGCCATAGCAAGACATCTCATGCATAACTCCAGCTTTTTCATTATCAATGGCGAAGCTCCTTGCAATAGCAGCCATTGCGAATAAAAGGTGAGGTTAATTGTCTTACCTTGCTCTTAACCCAAATGATGGGGTAGCATTTCATTTCTTTATATTTGAACCTCGTTTATTTATAATTAATACGCGACTGTGATGTTACGCGTCACATATGGAACTTTGATGCATGTCCATAACCATGGAGACAAGTAATGCCTCAAATGACTCCATAAGCAGTCATTCCAGAGAAGTTGTCAAAAATTTTGTACCATCTCATTATACTTTTTTGAGTACTCAAAATTAATACCTTCTTGTATGTAACGGTGTTCATTCAATTTGTTTTGAGTTAACCAGTCACTTATATTCAATGTGTACAGAGATTAAGGAAGGAAATGCAGCAGTTGACACCTGTACGGGCTGTAAGGAAAGTACTGTCCATTTCCATCAACGGCCATCAGATAGGATTTTGAGGTTCAGGGATCGTCAACTTTCACCACAAGAAGGCAAGGACCTTGACAAACCAAGGCAACCTCCAACACCTCCTAAAGCACCTTCTAGCGGACGTCCCTAGTGTCACAATCGATCATGTATTGTTTAATATTCATTTACTAAGGACAACATTATAAAATTGACATATAAATCCTACCTCTGTAAAACGAATAGTCTCGATGATACCCTCAATTTTTCAATTTTTTTAATGCTAAAATTGGTTAAATGAGATACAGAGACCGTAAAACCACAAAAATTCGGCATTGAAACAAATTTGAAACATTTCACACACGGACGCTAGGACAAGTATGTCGTTCAAATAAGAATTTATTTAAATAGCTTGAATCTTCCTAGAGTAAAACCCTTGTGGGATTCAGGGTATATGCATGTGCTTGCTTTTTATATGAGTTCTTGTTTATTGCTATCTATCTCCATTATTATTTTCTCTTGTAGTACCTTATCCTTCCAGTCTACCATTTTCTTTATAGGCATCCAGGAAGGCTCTGTGCCAGTTTGCTCAATCAGAAACATAAGGCAACAACTGTGAAAATGAAATGTAAAGCTTTATATTTGGGAAGATTCATAAAATGAATTACACATGAATTACAACTGTGACAAGAAAATTAGGTGCTTCAGGAAAAAAAAGAAAAAAAAAAGTGAAGAACTGATTTATCGTTCATTCTAAATCCGAGAATAACATTCTTCTTCCCGCATAAGATGATGCGCTTGACTGACTCCTTGAGCTATCATATCCTGAATGTGTTAGATTGGTGTCACTTATCACATCCTACAAATAAGAACAAAAACATAAAATCAAAAAAAATGTGAAGAAAAATATTAGATGAAGGCAAAACACAACAAAAACCAATAGTATTATGATGCTTCCTTTGGAAGAATGATCCGTGCAGTTAATTCAAGCGCAGTGCCAGTTTTATGCTGTGCAACTCACTTGTCTTGTGGACATTGCGCCTTGTTTTTCTGAGAACACTTGGCTACCGCCAAACATGAGCCGATTCAGGCTATCTTGACCAAATTCTCTGAATCTATTAAGCTCCGGTAGAAGAACCTTCCCAAGATCTGGTCTGTCTTTTCGCCTCATTTCAGCACACTGTAAAGAAAGCTTGGCAAACTTCAAGGCTTCCTCAATAGGCCAGTCAGAAACAGCAGGGTCAAGCACCTCAGCAAAAGCCCCTGTGTCAATAGCTTCCTCAACAAGATGAGTCAAACCCATTGGTGGTCTCGCAGTTATTATTTGTAGAAGCAGGACCCCAAGTGAATAGACATCAGATTTTACTCCAAGCAGTCCTGTTTGCTGATACTCTGGGTCGATATAACAGAATGTTCCGGCTGTTGATGTCATGTGATACTGAGTCACAGTATTGGCAACCGATGCAGGAACAAGCCTGGCCAAACCTACATCACTGATCTTGCTCACATAGTTATGGTCTAGCAAAATGTTTCCTGGTTTTAGGTCACGGTGGACAAGGGGTTCTGGCTTGGTCTGATGAAGGAACAAAAGCCCTGTCGCAATTTCTGCGGCAATTCTGAACCTTAACTGCCAAGGAATAACTGGCGTGTTACCTCGCCGGAAGAGACGGTCTTCTAAGCTCCCATTAGCCATGTACTCATAGACCAGACAACCAAATTCTGGACATGCCCCAAGAAGGAGAACCATGTTTGGATGTCTTATGCAACTCAATACTTCAACCTGCATGATAATTATGAGTTATCATAAAAATTGTTTAGAGAGACAAAAGTGCACAAGCGTGGAGAGAGAAATATTAGTAATCCTTGCTTGAACTGAAGAAAGTGGAGTAATTTGGAAGATACTAGTTAAAAATTTGATTATGTGCAAAGCCACAAACCTCTTTCTTGAACTGCTCCTCTCCATGAGCTGCATCGGGCCGTAGAACTTTTATTGCCACTGGTGTGTGGTCGAGCTCACCTCTATATACAGGCCCATAGCCTCCTTCCCCAATCTTATATCCCGCTGAGAAATCGTTTGTTGCTGTTTCAATCTCCTCAATTGTGTATTTCCTGTACCTGAGGTCATATGCGTTTGATTCTAGCGCCGTCTTCCTGTGTTCAGCTTCTCTAAGGGCTTTCAATTCTACATTTCTCCTTTTTTGTGTTTCCAATTCAGCAATCCTTTGAGCTGCTTCTGTTGCCTCCATGGCAGCCCTATACTTTGCTTTCTCCTTCCCTACAAGTGACAATGCAGCTTCCTCAACTATTCGTACCTCTTCTAATCTCAGTTCTTCTTCCAATTTCCATCGGTTGACTTCCCTTGCCTGTGAAAAAAAAAATTTATTTGTTCTCACTACTCGGAATTCAGTTTACCTAAAATTGAAACTTCGGAGATGATACCAATACTTGTGTATAGTCTATGCTCAAAAAAAGTTTCAGATCAATACCTTATGTTTTTCTGTGACTCCCTCCTTGCAGGCTGTATTGTACATATCCCTTGTGTGCTTGAGCTCTAGCCTGAGCCTCCTCATCTCGGCGTCCACATCATCCTGTTATTTTCAGGCAACAGTATAAATACTCTGACCTATTTCTGCATATGTATATATGCTACAGTAATAAATCTGTGTCTTTATGCACAATGGCATGAAAACCAATCAAATGGAACTGATTTGTGATTTGAGATATATGAGTTATTGAAGGAACATCTAAACTGGCTCCTGGGTCAAAGAATTTGGGGTATATATCAGCTTCTGATGACAAGCTTATTGGAGGCATGCTCCAAAGCTTGTAGGTTGGTAGTGCTTCAAGTTTAGTATACTGGGAAATTATCTTACCGCATTCTGTGACGATGACCACGAGTTTCCACTTTCAAATGAGCTTGATGAGAAATCATGTTGCGGTGATGAGAAATTACGAAGTGGTGATGAGAAATCATGTTGCAGAGAGCTCATGTCGATAAACTTGGTTCCAGAGTAAGATGCCGAAGAGGTGGAGCTTCTGCTGTCCAAATCGGAGTTGATTGAAAAACGCGAGGTCATTCCTGATGACATGCTGTCATGGAATGAAGGAAACATGTGATCCCTGCCTGGCGTTCCGCTGCTTACGTAAGATATATCACTGTCCGGTGGAAGCTCATATGATTTGTTCAGTGCAGAGTTTCCTCTGCTGAAAGGTGACCTGTATCGTTTTTATTTGGTTAGTCCTCTTATCAATCGTGACTAAACACCTTATTTTCTAGAATTACTTATATTTGTTGAACATCTATATCTAGAAATTCTTAATGGAAACTTCATCTAGGCAGCCTAACAATCCAATGAGGAATAATGGTTAAAATAGGAGATTGAAAAAAGATTACTGGAAACACTCCAGAGTTTGTAGTCTAAAAACATTGATGGTTGTTAGCATCACTTCCATGATTAATTGTTTTTAACATCACTACCTAAACATCTATAAAAATCTCCACTCCTAAGTAATCAATGTATCAGAGCTTACATGATTTCGTTTTCGTTCGGATGCCTGCGGGCTGAAAACTGTGTCCTTTCTGGTGCTGTGTAAATCAAAGAAACTTGAGTAAGTAGGGACAAAAATTAAGCATTCTTATGAGGTGGGAAATGACTCTGCATGACGCTAGAATTAGAGAAACAAACCTCTGGGTTTATGATTGCTCATCATCATTTGTGGATAAGATTCAGAAGCTTTGCTGGAGTGATGCACTATTTCTTGAGGTGGTGGTGAGACTCTTTCAGGTACTGAACCAGTAGCGGATCGCACAATTGAGATTTTTCCCCGGCCAATGACATACACCGTGCAAAAGTCGGGTGCCTTTTTCGACACAGTGGTTGGAACGTCCGTGGTCATGAACCTTTTGTGAAACAAGATTGATGAAATTATTAGGACTGCTAAGGTTAGATTAGAAGATATGCATAACAAAAATCTCAAACATAAAAGGAATATTTATTATTGTGATTAATCATACCTGAAAAGACCATTCTTTGATGGTGTGCCAAGCACCAAAATCTCAATTAAATTAGTGGTAACATAGTTGACGAGGGCTTTAGATATATCAGTGTCCTCAATTATGATCTCATGGCATTTTATCTGCACATGAAAGATGAAATCATAAGGAGATGAATTCTGGTGTGGAACAAAATTAATGATGTATAAATTAATTAAGAAGCATGCATGCATTTACTCACAGCCTTTTTGGTGCAATAGCCGCGGAATGGAAGAAACAGTTCTTTGGCTTGAGCATCAGCTTGGCATTGGTGCACCTTTCCGGCCTCCTCTGTCCCATGCCCGGCTACACGATTATGTGAGTAAAACGGGGAAATTAGAATATAACAATATGCAATTGCAATTGGATTTTCTATTTCACTCAATTGAATTGTAAACATTAATTACAGTTGTTTTTGTTCATTTGATTAGGTACATTATTTTGAATATATAAGGATGAAAATCTAACTACTCAGCCCCGTTGATTAAGATCATCATTCATCATCATGCATGCATGCATATATAAGAAACAGATAACAGAGAGAAAGAGAGAGAGAGAGAGAGAGAGAAAGATTGAATTACTGTGGTGATGGTGGTTATGGTGGTGAGATGCAGTTCCTTTGACATGGAGCAATGTGAGATTTTGGCCCCTGCTGAGAAGATTATCAACAGTCCATTTGATAGCATGCTGACTGCCTTTGTCCTTGTCTACTGCCACAGCCACAGACTCTTCCTTCTTTCCAGGTTTCCCTCTAAGTCCCATTTCTCTTTCTCTTTCTCTTTCAATTAATGAAATAAACAGTTGATCTCAAAATTTTCTCCAACAAAGTACTCTAACCAGCAGCCAATGCCAATTACAATAGAATGATATGTCTGAGAATTCACTGAGATTCTAACCCACAATCAAAGAAACCTGAATATATATTTTTCTTCAAAAGCTTATCTTTGATACATACAATAAAACTGGAAATGGCTTGGCACAAATCTGTGCTACAGGTACTTTGATTATTATAGAGGAACTTGGGCAGAGTTTGTTGGCTCTGTTAACAACAGAGAAGAAGACAGACAGTTAGTTCGTTCTGTTAAGAGTGCCAAATTCCTTTTCTTAACCATCTTCTCTTGTCTCTATATTAAGCTAATCTGACTGATAAAATCTGAATCTCGAATTTAGAGCCTTTTTCCAAAATTAGCTAACTTGCAGGCCCTTTTAGCTATGTAGGCCATAGAGCACAAAATCTAGGAGTTGATAGCTTCAAGTTTCAACGGATATTTGTTAATTTGAGGCACTTCCATGTTCTAGATTTCTTGACGCAAAGCCTAGCTAACAAATTTGATCACAAGGCTTTTGACCAACAAAAATTAAAAATTAAAAATTTGATCACACGGCCCAACAAAAGGTGTGTTTGAACATTTACCTAACTAGAATATTGCATTTTTTTCTTCTTTTATTTTTGGTACAATCATCATAAAATACAATCTTACCATACACGTAACGCAACAAATGCCAACATGGTGTGTTATGAACCCACCAAATTTTATGGCATGTAAACAAAATTAATTACAAAATTTTATGGCAAGAAAGCCAACGCAAAAGCCGCCGTTTAGTGGCGGAGTCAGAAATTTATCACATTGAGAATGTGATAATTAAAAGCTCACAACCTCAGCCAGGTGTGCCTCACAGCCTCAGCCTTTTCTTTGCACCTCAGAGCTTATTTCATCAAATTCCTTAAGGTTAAGATTGAATATTGGGGTCAAGATTAGTGGAAGAAAAGAAATAGATATTGGGGTCGTCTCACCCCCATTGATCACATACTGCCGTTGCAACTACCTGCACAGAAGCTAGATAGATTGCTGATCTTCTAGTTGCCCCAATTGCTGGGTCGTTGGCATGAGTAAGTTTTTGTTGTGATCATAAGTTCATCACATCGTCAACAATTGACTCATGTTATAACACGTTCGGTGACAGCTATGAGATAAAATTATTATGTGAGTTGTTCCTCCTCGTCAAGAGAGATTTATATGTAACTCCATAATCCATGCATAACGATAACCTCTTAACCAAAGCTGAGTTATAATTGATGAGGACTTTCCAACAGTAATGACAAGTTCAGCAACGATGAAGGTGGGATTGGTTTTTCAAACTCATACTCAAGGGCTTGATTTTGGTTTGTAGCTAGTGAAGGTGGCTGCATTTCAAAAGTCAAGAGGGGTGAATTGCTTTGTGAAAAACACCACTGCCACACAGATTGCCCGTTTGATAACCATTTCATTTTTTGTGCTAGAGTATAAAGGAAATGGGAGTGAGGATGAGATTGAGAGAGATGATGAAAGGGGAGTATAGGAGGGGGGAGTAACAAAAGTGAAAACAAAAACTTGAAAGTGAAAACAATTTCAAATAGAGTTCTATTTTTAGTTTTTGTTTTCCCTTTTATTACTCATCCTTCCCATCATTCCCTTTTATTTTCCCTTTCAATCCTATCTCCACTCTCATTCTCACTTCCATTCTCCCACTTTTTCCTTTATACTCTAGCGCACAAAAATAATAACTAGAAACTAAATTGAAATGGTTATCAAACGGATTAACTTGACGTCTCTTGTCTTTTCCATAAAAAGCAAAACTAGACCGACCTCTCTTTCCTTGTAATTGTGCTGCTCAACATTTAGACTTCAATTGTATGAAAAGTTTAAATAAAGAGACTCCCCCAGGAAGACATATATATTATCAATAGCAAAGCTTTCTCTTCAGCGCAGCCACAGGAGCCTATAGAAGGTAACATAGACTCTAACCAACTGCATGCACATTGCTCTTTTATAATACAATCTTTATAATATTGAATTCAAATTGTGTGCAGAAATTAGGCAGGAAGCCAAAATAAAGGAGCAGTTGAGACCCCTGGCTAGAACGAAGTGTGAGAGCTCTCGTTTTTTTGTTCGGCGATTTGCTTGGATTTTGGGAAGGGCAGCTCAACCTCCGGACCCCCTTCAAAACTAACAGATAGCCGATTTGTGAATTTACCTAATAGCAGAGGTGTGGACTTTGATCATCCAAGAAAAAAACGAACTCCAGCACCTAGAGCACATCTATACTTCTAATATATAAGAAGATTCTCCTTTCTGATTCAAATCTTACTTTCTGATTGGTTCCTACTTCCACTCTCATTTTTATTTTCCAACCAATTCACTCATTACGCATGTCTCACTTCCTTTCTTTACACATTCAACAAAATGTGATGAATCAGAAAGGTGCGTAGTACTCCTGGTGTTAAATTGGGCCTTATGGAGTTTAAATGGGCGGGTCGTTGGCCGGCCAGGCTATCTAGTCGTCGGTCAAACGATGATTCCTACTATAGTCTATGCTTAATCACTAGATTTAATTGCAAATTAACTAATCAAAGATTAATTGACTCCTAATCCCATGACTATTTTATAATTGATCAATGCTTTCCAACAGGGAGAATGACAAGTTCAACAATGGAGGTGGATTTGGATTTCCAATCTCGCAAGCAATGATTTTTTTTTTTTTGACTAGTTTGCTTTCGCTTTCGTTTTTGTTTCTATTTTCCCCTTAAAAGTCAATTCAAGGGTGATTTGATTTGTCAAAACAGCTGTGTGAATGTATCACACATCTTAACTTGACCTCTCTTTCCTCGCAATTGCCCTTGTCAACATAGCCTTCAATGTCTGCAAACACTAAATAAGAGACTTGAAGAAGTCATCCCATGCATAACTCAAGCTTTCTAAATTAACAATGGCAAAGCTCCTTCTGGTATCAGCCTCTGCACTAGTCTTTGTCATCCTATTGCTTGAGCTTAGGTTGGCCTACTCTTCAGCCGAACCACAAAGGCCAATAAAGGGTAAGGTTTTTAACTTTAAACATTGCTCTTGCGCTGATATATATTTTTCATCATTCCATTGATGCCAATAATGCAGCTGCTAACACCTGTAGCTGTTCAGAAAGCAAGGCCAACTTTGATAAGCAGCGATCAGCTCGGATTTTAGGAATGGCAGCTCCACGTCTACGACCCCTTCGGATATTAACAAATGCAGGCAGGGACCGTGATCATCCAAGAAAACCCAGTCAAGCATCTCCTAAAGCACCACCTGGTGGACATCCCTAGTATGAGGATCGTGTCTTGTCTAAAGATTCGTAGTGACAGTAGGACATCATTGGATTTTGCAGTGACAACACAGACAAAACAGAGCAAAACTCTGACCTGTGTATAAATTGCAATGTTTCATTCTTGATTTCCTGCGCATATATGTATGAAACTGTTTGTTTCCCAAGAATAAATTAACAGTTGGTGTGAACTGCCTGCCACCTTCATGAATAAATAAATTGAGAACCAGTTAAAGTGATATTTCAATTGCAATCCTCTATTTTGTGGCAATTTACCTCAATTGCACCTGCTTCGTCGATGCATCTGTTGAAAAAAATTGTTGTAGAAATCGAACTGAATGAAAAAAAAGAAAAAGAAAATAACTAATCATCTACATAGTAAAATTCTGATATAGTGATGCACCGACACCGAACTTGAGAACTTTATTCATCAAAATCTGAACATAGTAAATAAAACATAAACATGGGGAGAGCTGATTGACCAAAAAAATTAGAATACCTAGTTTCTCTCTAAAAAAAACTGAGAAACTTTCTACATTATAACTTGTTATGTGAGAGATTTGAGGAAGGAAAAAGCTGATGCTTCTTGGTATCCTGGTTTCAGGTTTTTGATCTGTATATATTCAATGAACAGAAGCCGATATAGATTGCTGATTGTACAACCTAGTTACCCCACTTCTGAGCTGCCGGCTTCTTCTCCTCTACATGACAACTGTAAATCCTTCGGCATCACCTTCCTTTGTATTTACATCCGTTGTTCTTGGTTGCTCAGAGCCACTGGATTCAGAAAGCAAGTCCTTCTTTCCTTCATTCCTTCATTTCCATAGTGAATTTTTATAATTGCACTATCCTTTTATATGTCATCTGAATGTGAATGGTTTTCCTGCTTACTTTCGGTTACAGGATCCTTATTCTGCTGGACATATTTTATCATGAAGCTGAGCAATATCTGCCTTGCAACCTCAAAGGATCCTTGTTGTGTGGCGAATTGGTTAAATTTTTGCTACTTTTTTCTTTTGGCTTTATGAATTTTTATTGTTGTTTTTATTTTTATTTTTTTTTAATTTGTTTGATTAGTTTATTGCTTATGTGGAGTCCACGTATGCATGAAATAGCCCACGTGTATAAAATTACTCAAACACTATTGCCACGTCATAAGATTTAACAGAGTTTTAGATGGAATTGACGGCATTAGGTAAAGTAGGTCACCAAATCACGGTAAAGGAGGGGGAGTAAGTGGGCCACTTTAAGTTTGAGGGGGCAATGTGAGATTTGACCGTAGTTTCAAGGGGCATTGGTGTAATTAAGTCTTACAATAATTGAGTGGGTGATGTGGCAAGTGGAGCTTACTTCTACATAGATAAAAACATAACTAAATATTTTAATAATTAAATATATAATTAAAATAAATCAGAAAAATTACATTTAAAAAAATTAGAACTAGATATTCTAATAATTAAAAACCCTACCCAGCCGCCCTAATCCTCCCACCCAGATCCCACCCAAAAAATCCTTCACGAAGGACTCCACCATCACTGTCAAATTCGCCGTCACCACCACCTTCCTCTTGCACTTGTCAAACACTTCGAAACTATTTCGCCCTCACATTCGGCACATAAAACTTAATCAAATTAATAACCCCCCAA